CCCTTCATCCCACCTTCCTTCCTTCCCTCCCCACCTCTCCCTCTCTTCTCCCTGTCTCCCCCTTCTGACTCTTCTCCCCTTCCTCTCTCTCACTTTCTCTCTCACTCTCCCCCCTTTCTCTCTCCTCCTCCTCCCTCTCTCTCTCTCCTCCCTTCTCCCCTCTTCCCTCCCTCTTTTTCTTCCCCATCCCTCCTCTCCTCTCCCCACCAACTTGCTCGCTTTCTCTCTTCATCATAAGCACTGTTATTAGAACAAAAGGGCAGCACCTTGGCTCTGATTTGTGAACTGCTGAGAGCAAGAGGAAGCTGCCATATGCCTTCTTTCGTGACAGGCATGCCATAATCGTATCTTGTTCACCTTGGCTCATTTGTGAACTTCCTCAGCTCAGAGATATGCATAGTTGCTCTCTGCAGCAAAAAGAGTGGAGGAAAAGGTTACAGTGCTGATAAGTTGTCTTGTTCCTACAGGAACCAACACTCTTCCCAAAAGAATGTGTCTACCTTCACGACCCAGAAGGTCTGAATGTCCTGAAGAAGGGCTGTGCCAGGTACTGCAATCAAACCGTCATGGTGAGTGTGATGTGAAGTAGGGAAGATCACATTTCCTTTGAAAGGAGCACAGCTTGGCTCCTCCTTATTCATTGAAAAGACCTCTGACTCCTTGAGCTGTGAGAAGGCTGCATGGGAGCAAGAGGAAAGCTGTCCTGTGGGAAGGCCTGCCCCCAGGACTGTCACATGAATTGGCTATGTGCCCTCTCTTTGGTAAACAGAGAGCAGAACACACGTTTCTGGAAAGTAGCTCAGTTAAACCTGCATCAAGTATGCCAGCTGTGACCAGCCAAGCTGGAGGAAGCCACGTGACAAATGGTGCAGGGTTGTGGCACGTTTCTCTGGGAGAGCCCTGTTTTGAGCATGCCTCCCAGAGGAAACAGAGCAGAGTGAAAGTGAAAGCTGTAAAGTGATTACATCCTGTTTATGAAACATTGTCACATGGTTTGGGAAAGTAGCTCTTGTCCCAGTTTAGAGATTCATCTGCAACTCCTGAGCTGTCACAGTGCCAGCTCTATGATATGATTTGAGGATGTCTCATTAAATACCACCTGGATGTTTGTCTTCTGATTTTTCTTCCATTGGTCATTCGTGACAAGGCCTGCAATTCACCCCTGCAAAGTCCCTCCAGAAGAATGCAGTCCTCAGCAAAGATGAAGCAGGAACAAGTGAGCTCCTACAATGTCACAGAAAGCGCAGAAGATAGTGCATAAGATAGTTTATGCTAAAAAGAATTGACTGTGAGCAAAAATAGGGATATTGTTGGAAAATAATTTAAGTGCAGAAGTTCCTAGAAATGCAAATGCCAAACGAGACAGTCCACTTCCATGTAGTCCATGGCCACAGGGAGGAGGACCAGTATTTCAGAACTGTGAGGGCAGGGAGACTGCAGACAATGCTTGCTGAGTCACTTGGCACTTTACCGATTTTGCTTTTGTTTCAGAAACCTGGATGCTGCAAAGGATTCTTTGGTCCAGACTGCATGCCATGCCCAGGGGGATTTTCCAGTCCTTGCTATGGCCGGGGAAACGTAGGTGTCAAAGAACCTGCTGTACTGCAGTGACCTGTTGAGTCAGGGTTGTTAAAGAGCGTTGTTAGCTTATTTGGCCTTTGATGGCAGTGTGGGTCATTTTTTATTTATGGTAACAGCTGTGGCTATAGATAAGTATTTTTCAGCATTTGTGCTCCAGAGCTAAGCCTGTGGTATTGGCAGCAGAGTATCCAGAGAGAATGGCACATCCTCATGGGTGGGTTTTCTCTCTTGAGCTCTACCATGAATCATTTCGTAGCTTTTGGAGTCAGCTCTGGCTATGGGGGATTTTGTATTACCACCACCACTCTTCAAAGTCCTGCTTTTTGCTGCAGCTGTCAGAGTGCCTTTGAAAGATATCAATGCCCCAGCTTTACCTTCTTCCCTGAGTTTCAATGACTTGGTTTTCTTTTTCTTTTCTTTCCAGTGCAGTGATGGCATACAGGGGACTGGCAACTGTCAGTGCTTTGATGGTTTCAAAGGAATAGCCTGCCACATCTGTTCAAACCCGAACAAGCATGGCGAGAACTGTGATGAAGGTTGGTAATTCTGATGGAGAAACTAGAGGAAAATGTGGGGCAAAGACAGTGCAGGTTCATGTATCCTGGATTCCCTTCTGGCAAGACCAACATCACAAAGGAAGGGATGGAAATGTCATCACAGGGTGTCCTTTCAAACAGCACTGGAAAAAACGTGGCTGATATGACAGGGCGATGTGGGTCTTGGAAACATTGGCCAAATTGAGATGTGATTTAGATCTCTCCTGCTTGGAAAGAAAAGGCATTTTTCTTTCCCGGTTGACAAAGTTCTTGTGCTGGATGGCCTAAATTTGAGCCTGTCCTTAGAGCCCATAAAACATATTGACGCAAGCAGTCACCAAGTTCTCTGGCCAGGTTTTGAAGTAAGACAGATGTGTCTCAGCAGATGTCCCTCTGTCAAGAACAGATGTGACAGTGTTTTGGTGTTACGAGAGACTGTGAAGGAAAGATGCGAATCTACAAAATGCCATCACTGTGGCAATTTCTGGACTTGATGTAGTAACTGATCTTACTCCATGTGCTTGACAGATTGTGGCTGTGTCCATGGCGTCTGTGACAACAGGCCTGGCAGTGGGGGCGTATGTCAGTCCTGGTCCTGTAAGGAGGGCTATACCGGGAAATTCTGTGACAGGACATCTAAGAACTGTGGCCCAAGTGGGCTGTCCCAGTACTGCCACCAGAACGCTGTCTGCAGCCTCAATGACACGGCAAGGTCAGTCTTTCTGGTACACAAATTCAGGTGAGCGCTTTGTCATTGCAGAGTCACACAGTGGCTGTCAGGCTGCCAGCCCTGTAGTTGTGTGCATGCCTCTGAGTATTTGTTGGACAGGATCATCTGAGTAATGCAGCCTGCTGTGCTAGGAATCAAAGTCAGAAACTTGCTGTGCTTGAAACAGCACCAGCTGCCTTTTTGCTCTCTGCTGAATGACAGAAGGGGCTGCGCTGTGCAGCTTCTGTGCGCTTGTTACTGCTCTTCATGTGTCCCTCGGCGTCTCTTCTGTGCTTATTTTTAAGATGCATCTGCATGGATGGATATGAAGGGGATGGCTTTTCCTGCCAGCCCATTGACCTGTGCAGTCAGCCAGAACGAGGAGGCTGTTCACAGAACGTAAGTGGGTTAGACTGTTGAAGCATGGAGAAGCAGCACCTATTGATTAGAGCAGGGATCTAGGACTCTTAGGACTGTTTCAAATTTGTTCTCTGCTAGTCTTGTGCCTAGTTTGCCCTGTCTGCCCTGTCTGTATGACAAGGTGGAATAACAGTTACCTCAACACCGTCATCATGAGGACGTCAATCATTTAGGTTGGTGCTAAAATGCAACACCCCGGGGGGAGGGTTTGACTGGTTTGCACAGATGTTTTGACAGTTGCAGAGATTAGCTGTCCAAATAATTTTTATTTTGTCTTAATCTCCCCCTCAAGTTTTTCTAATGTGTGTTAGTTTCTCTGTTCCTGTATTCAGGCTGTAGCTTAGCTGTGAGCGCCAACCTATGTTTCTCAGTAACCGCCAATGCCACATAACTGTCCTTAGTAAAGAACTGTGGTGCTTTAGGATGCAATGGACTGTCAAACAGTTGGACTTCATAATTGAGACTCCCTCAGCGAGAGGAGCACATTGGGCCATGTAAAAGGAAATAGGATGGGACTGGGAACAAATTAGGTCATTTCTGGGAGAGATTGGCCTCCGTCAGTGATTTCCTTCCTGCACGTCTAAGCAGAAGATTGTGCTCCTCCTCTCCAGGGAATATTTCTTCTGAATGTAATGGGAGAGCTATAGAGGACAATAGGGAATGCCCTGGGTGTTCTCAGCCATCTTAGATACCAGTATCTGCCTCTCTGAAAACACTAAATGTTTTCAGAATCACTTTCTCTCTCTTATGAAATTGTCTAGGACTTTTCTGTAAAATATGTTCCCACCCCCCACCCCTGGTGCTGGAATCAGAGCTGGCCATTCAGAAACTCTCCCCCAGTCTGAGGAAACCAATTTGTTGCTGCGTTTGTACTGCGCTCCCTCCCTTCTTCTGCTTAGTGTAATGCTTTTTCTCCCCCTTCTCCTGAAGGCTCTGTGTACCAGCACGGGCCCCGGCACTGCCGTCTGCCAGTGTAACAAGGGCTGGACAGGGGACGGGAAGGCCTGCGTGGCTATAGACAACTGTATGCTGGAGAGCAGAGGCGACTGTCACATCAACGCCAACTGTGTTTATATTGGCCCTGGCCAGGTATGGTCTAGACTAAGCAGTCTGATGTTGGACTTACACTTCCTAAGCTGCTCTGTAATGGCCTGGGATTGCAGAGGTAGAAACTGGGCCTGTGAGCAGTAAGGCTTGCTTGTGTGCTGCCCGACAGAAACACCGGCTCCTGTTCAACCCACACAGGGATGCTAATATGTGCTGAGATGCACTGACATGTTTTTGTCTCTGAAACTTTTGTACAGCAAAGGGAGGAGACCACATTTCAAAACATGGCTCAGTATAAGGCTTTGGTTCCTGTGCCCCCCTTTTTCGCAGACTGCAGCACTGTGAGTTCCCAGAGCAGGCTGCCAGCCATCCTGACTCACTGGACATAGGCCACTGCTGGAGCAGAGGCTGTGGGCCCATCCTGCCACAGAATATCCTGGGTTCCTCTATCCTGTATGTTTTGCCTTCAAAGAGCCCAAATGTTGAGTAGCTCATCTCTGGGCTGTGTTAAAATATATAGAAAAGCATGTGCCGCTGTTCATATTGTCAGTGGAGGGAGCTGGGCTGGGAGACATGTATCCTGAGATAGGAGGAGCGTATGTGGGAGAGAAAGCCTTTCAAGGTAACGCCTATTTCTCCCCATTGAGCGTGGCAGAAAATTGGACAACTGGCTGAGAAAAGGTGCCAAATCTGTAGCAGAGGTGAGTAAGGTGAGATGTTGCAAGTACGCTCCTCGATATTTCAAAAGCGGGAAGCTTGGAAGTTAGCTCCTCTTCTCTTTCTGCTGTTCACAGAATCACAGGATGGTTGAGGTCAGAAGGGACCTTTACAGATCATCTAGTCCAACCCCCCTGCTCAAGTAGGGTCACCTAGAGCAGCTGCCCAGGACCATGTCCAGATGGCATTTGAGTATCTGCAAGGATAGAGATTCCACAACCTCTCTGGCCAACCTTTTCCAGTGTTTAGTCACCCTCACAGTAAAAAAATTTTTTCCTTAGATTCAGACAGAACTTCCTGTAGTTTGTTTCACAGTGGTCACTGGTGGGTGTATTTTAACCAGCAAATGAAGATGCTCTAATAGGCCTGCAGAACTGAAATGTGTCTCTTTCTTGAAGAGCAAGTGTGTGTGCAAGAGGGGTTACGCTGGTGACGGCCACAGTTGCGATGCAATCAACCCATGCCTCATGGACAACGGTGGCTGCCATGACTTGGTGAGTAGCTAAAGAGCTGCCTCAAGGTTGGCATGGCAGTGGAGTTTGCTGTGCTCCATGACAGAGGTTTTCCAGCCATGGCATTGAGAGAGCTGTAAGGATTTATGCTACTGGCACACCACTGAGGCATAGAACTGTTCGGTCTCTGATTTACCAAGGAGGATCCTCTCCCTTTTTACAAATTTACACAACCAATGTACTAGGTGATGGCTTTGCTGCATACGGTATAAATTCAGTACCACCTCAAAGGTGACTGTAACAGGAGGAAGATGCTTGTGTGGTTATTCCTCTAGCCAAGGCCCTGGGAGACCAGAATTTGATTCCTAAATAGGTGCAATACTGCATAACTTCTGTTTGATCTGTAATCTCTCCTTTCCTTGTATTGACAGGCTACGTGTGAACCCCTTGGAGGAGGGGAGAGGTCCTGCACTTGCCCTCAAGGCTACCTGGGGGATGGCACGACATGCTATGGGGACATTCTAAAAGTGAGTAAAGAACAAATGTCTGAGATCTTCTTGAGATCAGAGAAGAACGGGTGTTCACAACAGACGAGCTGGCTCGGAGTAATGATAACAGAAGCAGTTAACTGCTTTCTTTTTGTCAGTTGTGTTTCATTTTTACTTTGGAGGGTGTTTCCATAGGCTCAGGAAAAACTACTGCCCCGACCTTTCCCTCAGAGACATTCAGCTTCAAATGTTCGACCTGCAAGTGAAGCAGCGAGTGAGGGCAAAGCTTCTTGCGGAGTACCATGAGAGTCTGGAACAGGGGACCCTTTCACATTTGCGTAGCTGTGAATCAATGGCAGCTTGCAAAGGGAAACTACTCTTGACAGATTCTCTATCCTTTTGTCCCGTTAAGTGACACTGCAGATAACAGCCGCCTTGCACCTTCCCTTTCTGTTACCTGAGCTGACAACTTCTGCCATTGCCAGCCTGCCGGCACATGTGTGTGTGTCTGCCCAAGACCAAGGAGAAAGCATTGATGCCAATGCCAATGCGTCCTAGAAACCATCGGCAATAATTTCTAAGCTGCTTCACCCGTCTGTGCTGTGCAATAGGCCATGTCTCCTTTGTTATCTGGAAGGTTTTCCTGGTGAGAGCTAGCAAGGCCCATTTTCTCTCATGAAACACCATTGTGGACTCAGCCCCTTCCCGGGAAACAGGAGCAATTGCAGAAGAGTTGAAAAGGATTTGCTTATTTGGGGAATTTATTTTTTTATTGTTTGGAGTTTCATCTCAGGAGTGCTCAACCTTCCCCATGATACAAGGTGTCTGTAATGGTTGTGTGATGAGAAGGGAATGATTAAGTCATTATTGCTGGATTTGAAATTGCAAAGGGCTCCTTTTCCGCAGCCTGCCCCGCAGCCCTAGGGGCTTGGCAGAGGTAACCCTTTTGTCATTTCTGTTTGGAAGGAGCTGGCCAGGAGTTCGTACTTCGCAGGCTTCTATGACTGGGTTAAGGTAAGAACAGCCATGGGATGCCAGCACGGGTAAGTTCTGTAGAAGTGAAGTTGCTGTGAATGCTGCTCTTAGAGGAAGGGCGTCCCCATTTATGTTTTCCATTACAGAAAAGTAAAACAACAAGAAAGGTTAAATTGTTATAGTGCCGGTGTGTAGAAAAGCTCTGGAAATTGAGACGAAGACTGGGCTATAAGTGTGTTTGGAGGGCCTTGTTTCTAGCACAGGAAAAAGCTGGGGCTGCGTTACACTTAATTTTCATGGTTGTATCACCTGTAACTCCTAGCTGTCATAAGGTAGCACAGAAGGAAAAGAAAAAGGGATGCATAATAATAGCTGCTGTTCAAAAGAACATGCTGAAGTTAGGCTATGTATTTGTTTCTTTTCTTGTTACTGGTTTTCTATTTCCAGTGTGGTAATTACAGAGGCGCTCCACAGGCTACAGCAAGTCTGTGGAGGCACACTATGGCAATACAGCATCTGATCGAACCTTAGTTTACCTGTCCTGCTGCATACACTGCTTTTGCTAGGAGTAATCTTGGCCCTTGCCCCAAAACTGATGTTGAGGGTTCAGAAAGGATTTATGGATTTGAATGAATGGATTTGAAGATTACTTGAAATACAGAAATAGCGCTTGGAGCAGCAGGCTTTCCCTTGTGCACGCTTGGTTATCAGCTGTTTGGCTAAACCATCTGTGGTGTTCATTGATTGCCCACAGCAATCTTTCACACGTCAGGACAGCCTGCTGTGCTGCTGAATTTACACTGTCTTTTTGCACACCCTTTCCATTAGACTGCAAGAGCGGGATGGCCGCTACAGCTGCCGGTTATGTTTTGCGGTTTTGGTGTGGCACTGGCATGTCTTATTTGTTCATCTTTGTGCTTTGGACAAACAAAAACTTGAGCAAGGCTGAGAAAGATATCTGGTTGACCCCTTATATGCTGCCATTTTTAGTCAGGTACGAAGAGACTCCTGCCTTTGCTTTACTATGCCAAACAACAGTAGCACAAAGCCATGAGCTCAGTTTCTGCTCATGCAAGCCCAATCAAGAGTTATCTTGAGATAAAATAGAAGCAAAGTTAAATACCTAGCAGGCAAAGAGTTTACTAGGCAGTTGAAGTGTAACAGAGGTCAGGCAATTGATAGTGGGTTTATTTTGTTTGTATTTACAGAGAGATATTTTTCCTCACTGCCATCCAAGGCAAGGAATTTCCTCTCTCTGTTGTTTTCTCCACATGCTTAGCTCCTTGATGCGAGAGATGCATGAATGCTGGGCTTTATGGTCTTATCTCTCTCTCATTACAAATGGTGCCCCAATCTCTTCTTTACCTGCACGTGTTCCCTTCAGGGCCCACTTTCTCGAAGGTGTCTTCACTGGTGAAGAGCTCAGGAAGTACAAGAGACCAGAATTACCCACCCTCAGCCCACAGACCAAATGGCAGATAAACACCAAGAGTGACGTAAGGGTTTCTTATGCAACATGCACATACCACTATCAAATTAAACTGCTCGAGAGCTGCTGTACCTTGTGGGGAACATAGAAGGGGCACTGATGCCCTGAAATTCATGACACTTTTAAAAATGGTACCGAGATTAATCACATGCAGCCTTGAATGAACAGTATATATGGTTTGCATCTGCTTGACAATTTCTGATGCTCTTCCTCTGATACTTTTGTAGGTATTAACCATTCAGAACGCAAGTATAGTGGTCAGTGACATCCCTGCCAGCAACGGCATTATTCATGTCCTTAGTAAGGTATGTTGGTATATGCAATATTGGGAAATGTCACTGTTATTGCAACGCATTTGCATTGTGGCATCTGTTGTGGGGGCAAGGAGGAATACGTATATGGACGGTTAGGAAGGGATATAATGGCAAAAATACATTTGATTATCACAGGGTCCTGACAGATGTTTCCTGTGCAGCAGTGTTTAACATTTAAAGCATTTGTCTCCAAAGCAGGCGGGGAGTTCCTCTTCTTTTGGCTGACAGAAGTAGAGTCAAGGCTAGTGCAGAATAATGTGGTGAGGCCATTCCTAATTACTCTTGCAAGCAGGGCAGGAGTCTAGTGTGATTTCCCCGAGTCCCTTGGGGGCCTGACCTAACTGATGAAATCACTTTCCCCACAGGTTTTGTTGCCTCCTGTAGAAGATATCCCACCGAGTCCCCCAGGTCTGCAGAAACAGCTTGACACAGTCACCTCATTCAGCACATTCAAAGAGTTGTTACAGGTAAGTAGCTGGTGTGAGTTCTGTTAAATCATGCTTGTTGCAATCTTCTTTTGAGCAAATGCCCAAGTTACCATGTATAGAGGGGCCTAAACATGGACGGCCAGGTGAGAAAAGGGGAGCATCTGAGCTTCCTACCATTCCAGCATCATGTTCTAGAAATGTCCTATTGAGCAGCCAAGGGGTTATAGTCTCATAGTTAGATCTCTCTTTACATCTTTGGCATGTTATTACAGGGGAAAATGAGCTGCCTACTGCAGGCAGACAGCAGGCAGGCTCACTTGCTTGAATACAGCAGAGAAACCTACAGTAAAAGAAAGGTTTGCTTATAACCAAGAAACAGCACCAATGTCAACCCAGGGAGGAGACCAAGCAGTTAGACATATGTGCCTGAGTGAAAGTTGTATTTTGTCATATCCAGTTTTCAAGCAGTTCCTCTAGGGTTCTTGTTTTTAGAATTGATTTTACCTGCAGTTTGGTTTTAGTGAATACAAGTGTAATTGCTAATGTTACTGTTTGGACATTTTTTAGCAATACCAGCTCATTGGAAAAATTGAGTCCTCTGAAAAATATACAGTATTTGTCCCTGGAAATAATTCCATTGAGGAGTACTGCCGTGCTGCCAATGTGACGCAATTGGTAAGCTCACTGCTTGCATACAGTCTGAATATGCGTTGTGGTAATTGCAAGGACATATATACTGTCAAATCCTAAACTTGAGTTGAGTGGATTTGAGTATGGAGAAGAGGAGCATATCTGATGTAAAAAGGTAGGAGAAACGTGGCAGAGAGGAATGAGAAAGTTTCCTGGGATGTTGCAATGGGAGGTGAAGAGAGGAGCTGGACTCCAAATGCAAATTTATTAGTAGATTTGTATGTGGATGGGTAGCACAAAATGTTTCCCTTCCTCCTGGCAAATCAGTGGCAATTTTTAACCTTTTGAACGAATCCGTAAAGCCTTTAAGGCTTCATCTAGCAACAGAGTAATCAGATGTAATTTATTATTGGTTGTGATGAGAAGTTACTGGGCTCTGTGGACTTCATTAGTGGTTAGGATTGCTTAGGAACTCTTCTCATGCCATACCTCTGACTATCTAATTGCAGTCTAGAAAGTCAAGAGCAGCCTAACACTTGGTTTTCTGTGGATTTAGGACAACGAGACAGTGCAGTACCACATTGTACTGGGAGAGAAGCTCTTGCCTAGGGACTTGAGAAGTGGAATCCATAAGAACACCATGTTAGGGTTCTCCTACTGGCTAATGTTTTACCAAAACAGCACCCAGGTAAGGAGGGAAAACTGTTCTGCAATTTGAAGATATGGCTGACTTACCACTTTCTAAGGCTGGTGACTGGAGACGCTCATGTGTGTTTTGGACACCTATCAGGTCTCCAGACTGTCGCTGTCTGATGGCAGTCCATGCAAGGGGAATTGATAGGCATCATCTCAGCCTTTTTCTTGTCCTTTGCAGAAGTTCGTCAATAATGTTCCTTTGGACGGAAAATTTTTTGAGACGAAGAATGGCATGTTAATTGGGGTTTCACAGGTCCTCCAGATACAGAAGAATCGTTGCACTGCCAATACCACCACCATGCGAAAGGTAATGATGTTTACCAAGGAGCTGACCACCATCTCACAGGGTTTCTCCAGCTCCCAAACCAGGCAAACTGTTGAATAGCAGATCTACCTTGTCTCTTCCACATGGATGAGACAGTAGCTTAGAGTCTGACCCCCAAATGAGCTGCTGAGCAGCCCTGCCTTGTATGAAATGGGACACCATGGAGCCTTGGCACCTCTTAGCCTCAGATCTATTATTTCTGAATGTAGCAGATCTGCAGCTCTTGGGCTGTACATAGCTCCTACGCAGATCAAGTACAGTTTACTTGCCAGGACTCCATGACAATGCCAGCCATGGGTCAGACTGGTGCAGGGACTCCCAGGTGCTCGGCAGTGGAAGAAGAATCCAGCCCAATTTTTGCATGCTATGATCACAAACACTCCTAGGAAATGCTGTGGTCTGCCTGGGAGTAATGGCCAGAATCCAGCCCCTGCATGTCTTGTGGCTCTTGGCCATTTGACGATTGTAGGGTCAGAATGAGGCAGAACTGTCCTATTACAGATCAGAAAAAAAATACATGCAGCTTTGCATGAAGGATCACCGGGCCTGTGGTTAAGCCCTGCCCTGACTGAGACACTTAGGGAGGTTTAACATGAATCTCTTCTGGTTTGCTTTATGGTACAGTCTCACCACTGGCATGCAGAAATGAGAGCTCCTGTGAAGCCTTTGATAGCAGCCCAGACCTGAGGGACATGCATTCTGATTTTTCCTCTTTTGGTGTTTCCTCTTTTGGTGTTTGGAGATAAATATCTGGGTCTTTGTCTCAGCCAGCAGCCTGTGCAGCAGCATTTGTAATTCAAGATTAGTTTCTTGGTGTGACATGGGTAGAGGGCACACATGTGACTTGTCTGTTCTCTGTGCCCCAGTCAAGATGTGGCAAGTGCGAGAAGGGGATCAAGTGTCCTTCTGGATCAGTTCTTGTGGTGAGTCTCTAATTAATGTGGTGCCTCACATACTGTTCGCAGATAGTGCGAACAGTTGATTTCCCTTTACTGCTCTATAGATGTCATCTTGATACCTGTAAAAACGTGCCCTGTGGCTTGTTCATCATCAACATTTGTAAGAGAAAGCAAAACCAAGGGAAGATGAGGGATGTTTATGCAGGAAAAAGACAAATGTGAACCATGGGGCTCTTTACAGAGCTTACATGCTTTGCCTGAATTTCAGGAGCCCTTTAGAGCATGTAAGTCCATTTAGCCTCTTAGAAAAGCAGCTAGTCCAAGGGGGACCTGCAACTGCTCCTCACAGATACAAAGCAAAGCACCAGAAAGCTCTGGGAGGGGGAGAGAGGCATCAGGAGAGCAGATGTGCCACTGCAGTGGTGTGTGCATCATTGAAGCTGAAGAAGAGGAGGGCAACAGAGACCAAAAAGAACTGACTTTTAGAGCATTTCCATAAAGGGAGAGAGAAGGGTCTCCTAACAGAAGTGGGGGAAGGCAAAAGGTTAACCGTTTCTGGACAGACGTTCGCATACACAGTCAGAGGGGGGCTCTAGGGAGGTTGCCCTCAGCATGGATCAGTCATACGCTTGCTCACCTTATGCCCCAGCGGGCAAAGGCCCCTCACTCCAATGCACTCTCCTCCCAGGAAGCCTTTCCTTCCCAGTCGCCTACTGGGAGACAAGCCTATGGCAGGGCCCTTCCCTTACGAAGGAGCCAGACTTCCACAGTCCACATTCAGGGAAAGCGGAGTCAGGGAGCTGGCTATGTGTCGGTGAAAGCTGGCAAGTCTTCCACAGAGCAAGTGGGCACAGCAGATCATGACAGTGCAGTCTGGGCCCAGATTCTGTTCTCTTTGATGTGGGGGACCATTTTGCTGAATTTCTTGGGAAATCAGCCTGCATATTGGGAAAGAGATTTTGATCTCTTACTCTTTCGACATTATTATTAAGGAAAGCCAGTTTGGGGGGGATGAGTAGTGATTTTCCCAGCCCAGATTGTAGAAGTGTTCCCACAGATGGGTTGGTTGTGCCTGTAGTTTGTTGCTTTGTGAGTGAATGACAAACGTTTCCAGAGAGGAAAACGACTAAGCGTTTCCTCTCTGTGCTGGCCGTGAACTGCGTAGCAGCCACATCTGACTTCTTAGGTGACATTATTTACTCCATGCCAAGAATTTGCCAGTTAGTTTTCTCAGCATTCATACTGAGATGTATAGCATGTATCTGGGGCAGGTTAAAAAAAGAGAGCATGTGAGACAACCTTACACTAAGCCTAGAGATGCCTAATTGCTCTCAGTTCTGGGATACCGAAATGTTTAGGACTGTTCCTGTGGGATAAAAAGCATTATTCCTCTGTTTGGCAAGAACACTGCCATCTGTTATATGCACCATAATGTATGATCTGTTTGTCTAAATACTGTAATATCTTACATATTTATCTATGTTAATTTTATCTGCAGGAACTTCCAGGAAGCAAGAATCTCCCGCACTGTGAATTACGGTCTGGGCATGCAACAACACTTGGCTGCTATTTCACCTGTGCAAAAGTTTCTTTAGTAAGAAAAATATTTGCCTTTCATTCACTTTGACACAGGCAAAGTGTTAGAAACAGAGCCATTGAAATATAGCCTGTGCTGAAGTCCTGGCTGAATTTGTGCCATTGCATAGCTGACACTGTGCTCGTCAGGAAGCTGCTCTCCATCCTGGAGAGAGGGCACTGGAGAAAAAACAAACAGGCGGAAATGTCTGCACAGTGATGAATTGTGGTCTGCTGGACTTTGGACTGGTTTTTGTTGCACAGAGGAAGAGAAGGAGTTGAATGTTTGCTTTTGGTTTCCTAAGGAAATGAGGCATGAATGATGGTATTTTGCTTGTGCATGTGCCTTTGCTAATACCTGTTGACTAATTGGAGACAAAGTAACAGGAGGAGCAGAAGGTCTTGCAGTTATTATGCTCCTACCAGTTTTGTGAAAATGGGCGGCTGGGAGAAAACACTTGAACAGGGAATGCTAAGGGAAAAGCTTGGGTGAATGGGACCCTTTTTAGACATTGAAGCTCTCCCTGGAAAGTTTGGTGAGAATGGAAGAGTGAGGAGAAGGAGAGAGAGGCAGTTGGACATATCGTACACATAGGCAGAGCTTCAGTCAGCACTTGTGCCTCACTGGGCACTACTGAGTCCCTTCACTGACTGATGTTTCTCTTCATCTGCACTGTCCAACTCAATTCCCTGAGCCATTATGGTTGCCTCTCTCTGTGATGGATGCAGAGAGAAATGAGAGCCGTGAACTCAGGCTTCTGAATTGAATCACCTTCTGGTGGAGTCTCTCTCTGCCCAACAGCGTGTCTGACAGATGGGGCATGCTAGGCCCTGAGGAGGACACAGATGGGCTGGATGGGTGCAAGACTGAACATTTGTGTTGCAGGGGAAAGACTTACCAAATGGCCAGCTTCACTCAGCTGGCAGTGTAGACCTTTAAATGAAGCTCTGGGCAGCAAAGAGCCCCATTCTGGGGTGGGGAGGGATGACAGGCAGCGGCCAGTGTTTGTGGACATGCTCCCTGTGGAAGGCAGGCTGCTGTTGCCTCTTGGCAGTGAGGCAAACACAGGTGGGGGATGCTCTCAGAAAGCAGCTCCATCTTCCCAGGTGGAGCAGCACTAGCTAGAATCAGAGTAATGGTCATTTATAATTACTTTTCCCAATCTGTTCTCACTGAAGAGGATGACAGGCCACTCTTTCATGCATTTGCTATATATTTTATACTGAAATCTATCACAGACCTCTGTGAAGGTAGCATTATTTAATCTTAACAAATACAGTGCCTTTTCGTATTGATTTGCCAGTGGTTTTTAGGCACTGCCTCTTGAGTTTCTCCCTGTAGTGACCTCGCTAGACCCCTCTAAAGGTGTTGTTGGGAGTTGGCATAAGCAGACTTTCTGCATGTTGTCATCTTTACAAAATGCAACAGCTTTTTTACGGGTGAATGTATGTGTATGCACTATCATTGTGAGAGGCCATAAGGAAGAAACATACCTGTGCACCTCTGCTCTTTCATGTATTGTCCTAACTGATTGCTAGCGCATAGTTAAAGGAGAATAGCTTCCAGAATAAAGCATGTGACCCTGGCAGATGTTGCTTTTGCTGCCTCATCCATGCTGCACAAAACGGCTCACCCTGACCTGTTCTTGTTGGTTCCCTAGAGGTCTGTCTGCTGTCCAGGTTACTACGGACATATGTGCGAGATGTGCCCAGGGAAGCCAGGCCAATGGTGCTCCGGGAACGGGGAATGCCAGGATGGCATTGAGGGCAGCGGAGAGTGTCGATGCCTGGAGGGTTTCCATGGCACTGCCTGTGAAATGTGCGAAGTGGGCCGATACGGAGCTGACTGCAAATCAGGTGACAGCGATGGCTATTGCAGGTTGTGACTACAACCATTCACACAAGGAGTGACTACAATTATTCTCAAGAGGGGTTGTAGGAGGGAAAAAATGGTCCAAGACCTCTCACACATCTGCCTAAAAGCTGGCAGATCACTGAGAGGGGGAAAGCGTGAGCGAGCGCTTGTCGTCAGCCAATAAGTGGCCCCATTTTTCATCTGCAAACCAAGGCATGACTGACTGTGCTATGCCACTCATCCTGCTGCCACCCAAGCTACAGAAAGTAGAGATGGTCTGGTGCTGGGCTCTTTGGCCTGATAGAAAGGGAGCAAGAGCTGATTGATACTCCTGCAGTGTTTTCCTTATGGCAGCTAGATGCATTGGACTGGGAACATGGGAATGCAGCAGCCAGCAAGACAGCAGTTTGTCTCTGCTTTTCAGTCCTGGTTGGCTTGACAGCGATGAGCGTTTATTTTTCTCCTGCAGAATGTGCCTGCGACAATGGTATATGTAACGACGGACTGCAAGGAGATGGGAGCTGCGAGTGTTTCCCAGGGTGGAAGGGCCCTACCTGCCAAGAAAGTATGTGAACCTGAAGGGGCCCGTGGTGTAATATTTCCTTTCTGGTAGAGAGATATGAGTGATTCCCTTTGGTTTCCAGAGCAATTCTGTGGTAACTGAGCCAGGTGACTATGGTTGCATGTGCTCTTGGCCCACGGTAAATTCTTGTGTCCCACAGAAAGCTTATCGGACTGTGGTAGCTCAGTCCTGCACATGAATTGCATTTGTGGTGTGCCTTTCTCAACAACACATGAGCCCTAGCTCTCGAGTTATCAAAAAAAAGGAAAGGTATATCACCGGGTCTGTCTCAATGGAGAATCTGAGGCATCTCAAGCCCTGGGAGAGAGGTGGAAGCTCCCAGCCTAACAGGGTCAATTGTGGCCCTTGTTACTTGACCAAGAAGGTGGCAGACCTTAATTTGGAGCCTCTAAAGTGTCCCAATGTGTCTGCTGAGTTCCTTTTTCTGCTCTGTGATTCATTGATTTAGGTGAGCTCAGGTCTGCAGTTCTCACTGAATATCTGTCATTGTGTGCTGAAGTAATATTGCAAAGATGGGTGTTTCTGGGACTTGGCAGAATGGTTACCATTGGGGTGGGGGGAACATAAGCTCCTGCATCCTTTGGGATTGTAAAGGTTTGTACCTAAAGCTTGAGTTTGTAGTGAACTCAGATGTCTTGGGGGCATTTAGAGAGGGAAATTCGGTGAAGCTGTCCTGTCTAGTCTAATTGTAAAACATGAAACAAGTGCATCTTTTTGCTTTGAATGGACAAAGTCAAATGGCCCTCTGGTCATTCTGGATTAATGAGGTTTCAGTCCTTGTTTTGTTCCTGCCAATGTGGAGGCCATGAAGGTAGGATTGGGTAGGATTGAATTGAACCATTAGCCCAGACGGAGAGGGCAGAATTTGGTCTTTTGCACAGCACCAGAACATAAACCCCATAAGGGTTCTCTTGCCACCATACAGGACGTGAGTCAACATAACTGCTAATGGGTCCCATCAGATTAATGATGGGACCCATCACAAGCAGGGCAATGAGGCTATTTTGCAGGGTCCTTTACTCTAGATGGAAGAAATAGATTGAGCAAGTGCTAAACTGAAAATCCCAAGTCACATTTGTGTTTTCTCTTGCAGCAATCGAGATTGACTTATGCAATAACACTTGCCATCAAATGGCCAAGTAAGTACAGCCAAGGGGCTGGGTCATTCTGAGAAAGCAATGTGCATTTGTACTGGTTTTACACCCGGGTGATTTAGTGCTTGGGGATTCATAGAGGACTGAAGTGGGAGAAGGTACCTGCTCATTAAAGGTGCCTAAGTTTTGGTTCCATTGTGGGAACTCTTTTTGGTGCTGAAGCCCCAGCATTCTGTATGTTTGAGCATAAATTCTTTCCGAGCTCCTTCCTCATGTGAGGATGGGAGAAAGCAGGCCAAGCCTGGCCTCATTCATAGAGCAAAGCAAGCAGCTATGGACAAGCTCTCTCTGCCTTGCCTGCCCCGACAAGAAATTATATAGGTTAATGGGCTGAGGTGATTTCCTCTTGCTGCCTTTGCTTTCCATTATCTGCTCTCCTGTTTCTCAGTGCCAGGACCCAGCCATCTGCCCTGTACCATGAAGAAGCACATGGACATGGTGAAGGTGCATTGTGCAGGGTACGAGACACAGCCCAGTGCCTTGACACCAGCTCCTCAGGCAGCTTCTGTGGCAGTTCAACCTGACTTAGGGGAGCCTTCATCAAACCTGTCTGGCCCAGTTTTTAGGCAGTAGGTCTGCGTTGTCATTCAGGCCCCACTAAGCAGAGGGATCTCTTCAGGCATGTCGCAACTTGCGATCCGCCCTGGAGTCCCATGGATGGGCAGAGCTGCTTGGAGCTATTCTGACTTGTTTGGCTCCTTGCTGATGTGAGTGGGGCCAAGTGATGCTGTCCAAATGGTGTGTTACAGATCTGTATGTGATTCTCCAGAGCCACAGGCTCATTTCTGGGGTGCTGCCAGATAGTCACTGGGTATCTCAGAGCTCTCAGCCACCACTCGCACCTGCTTGAGCCCTCCAATGCCTCTCCATGTCCAGGAGGTGCATGGGTAGCTGAGACTGGGAGAAAAGAGCAAACCTAGAAACAAGATGCTCTGCGTCCTATAACCATTACAGGAGCCACTCAGTCTGTTTTTGGCAAACCTCTGGCATACAACCATGGAAAGTCATGTCCTCCTTGAATGCTGCTATTGTGTCCTTAGTTGGGTAGGGCCTTTGAAATGGCAGGACATTTCCTTCGCTGAGCACAGCCCCCTTTTCTGGGTATGTTTGCCAGCATGCCTGTTACACTCCACGTGACGTGTTTGGATCGACTCTTTGGTGCTGTAAAGAAACATTGAGCAACTGCAGACACATTCCTCCTCCTCCAGTCTCTCAGCTCATTGTGGACTTTGAGTGCTGGATTTGTGTAGTGTGCACTTCCCGCTATCAGAGCAAATCAGGAGAAGATACCAGTGATTGTTTTTCCTTTGCTTGTTTCAGCTGCCTGAATGGCTCAGCAGACACCTCACCTACTTGCTCGTGCTCTGCTGGATACACAGGGAATGGGACCCATTGCACAGGTATGCCCAGAAAGTGTGGGCAAGATTCAAGTTTTGCAAAAATATGTCAAGGTTACACAAATGGAAGGTTTTCGTTTGTGAAATGCACGGCATGACGTTGCTAGGAGAGAGATCATTCAAATCCTCTTCCTTCCAGTCATCCTCCATTAAGTCAGCCATGCTTCAGTAGAGAGGCTTTTCAGTCCAGAGCTTTACACAGTATGGCCTTGATGTTGCTACAGCTGTGACAGAGGGAAAAAGAGTACGGAAAATGGAGCAGTGCAGTTCTTACTGTTTGTGGAGAGGAAGGCACATGAATGTGTTGTATTGGTTCTAGTATCAGGGCAATGGCAGCAAATGTGATAATTTTGGCCCTGAATTGGTATAATGTGGATGCTTTAGTTCCCTAAAATTTTCTGCCCCCTCCTATTTGTTGGCCATGCCAAAGTCAGGTAAAAGCAGCACAGCAGTTGCGCCAAAACCACTTAGGATTTCAGTATACTGCTCTAGAGCTACATACAAACCTAGTCTATGTCAAAAACAACTAACTGAGAAAAACACTCGAAGTAATAATATCCTAACAATCAAACGAAAACTTTGGTAGACATCACAGTCTGTTTTCAGTATTGCCATTATTTGAAAATGAGTAAGGGGAAAAAAGCAAAAACACATTTACATTATGCAGGAAAATATTTTTTTCTGGTCTATTCAATAGTTGTTAGTGAGCAAATACTGTGACGGAAAGACTGTCCAGTTTGGGGGTTATTTAAGCTTATCATGACATTTGGATCGGCCTCTCTCAGATCTGGATGAGGCAACATGCCTTTAAAGGACCTATAGTTTCATTGAGAAGCCAAGGGATTTTAATAAGATGGCATGATTTTTGTTAAGAAGGATTATCATTCTGGTGCTGTTCATATTCCCTAGACGCTCTGAGCTGATTCTACTTCTCTTGTTTCTGGTCACAGAAATAGATCCGTGCACTATTGATCACGGTGGCTGCTCCATACATGCTGTATGTACTAAAGTGTCCCCAGGAGAGAGAACCTGTGTTTGTAAGGAAGGCTATGCTGGAGATGGGACACTCTGCCTGGGTGAGTGCTCAGTGCTTGTTTTGGTGATGCTGCCTAGGCATCATCCAAGCATGAAGGAATGTCAGGCAGGTTAAAGTACTGAATCACTCGCTGTCCTTTCAGTCTGTTCATGCAGTGACTACTTCAAAGTCAGGAATTGTTGATCTTGATTCAACCTTGTTTCTGCTTTTTGTCGAGATGTGAGCAATATATGTACGTGTGCGTGCGTAACTGTGTATATGTGCTCAGCATTCTCCCCAGGTCGTGATTAGCGAAGTGGTCATCACTGTTCTGGCATAGCTCCACCCAAAGCTGGGAAGAGAGCCCATGCTGCGCTTAGCACCCATCTTGCTAGATGTCCTCAAACCAGTGTACGACGGCACTGCCAAGAACAGCCCTGAGAGGTTTCTTGCCTCTTCATGTCATGGGGAGGCCAAGAGACAGAGGGTGAGCATGGTCTCCCAAGATGGTGCTCTGAGATGAGGATGGAGCTGTGTGGGAGAGTTCAGTCCTCTCATAGCCTTTAAAGCAGGTTCAGGCAGAGGTGGGATTTTCTGCATGTGGATTTATCATGACTCAGAGACTCAGATGTCCTAGGAGTAGAATTTGCAATGGTCCCTCATACCTTCCCTGTCATGAGTCATCAAAGGAACAAGTCACTTTGCCACCAAGATGTTTCCCAGGCTGGGAAGATCCTCCCTGTTGCTTTGCCCATACTTCCTTCGGTCCAGTTCCCAGCTGCCTTGGGCATCTCTCAGTGGTAATGTGGTGTTATTGTTTTGATACAGAACTTGATCCCTGTCTTGAAAGCAACGGGGGGTGCCACACCAATGCTGAGTGCATTAAAACAGGCCTGAAGAAGGTAGGTGCCTGAGAGGGATGTCAGGGCAACATTATTATGGAAGCTGTCAAAGCTGTTTACTTCTCTCAAAGACAGTCCTTTCCATGGCAGCGCTCTGCCTTGGGTTTATTACCTTCTACACAGAAAACTTGCCTGGGAAGGGCACGAAAAGATGGTTGTTTCCACAGAAGTGGATGGCTGCTTTCTGGAGGCTGGAGATAGTCTCAGCTTATTTTTGTTGTTGACACAGGCATCATTATTCATGAAGGAATGGAGTGTGTGGTGAATCCTATCCCACATGCTTTCCATCCAGCTCAGCCATTGCACATTTCCTTTTTTGGGTCCAAGCATTCAAAATGAACATCTATACTCCCTCCAGGTTGCCTGCAACTGTCTTCCGGGTTACAGTGGGGACGGTGTGAGCAGGTGCAATCCCATCAACTTGTGTGAACAGGTTTGTCTGCATTTTGCTATTACTGGGGTGAAAGCCAAAGCCTGGGAGTGTCCTCTTCTCCCAACAGTTAACAGCAAGAATAGAGTTAGCTCGATTTTTTAGAGATGGCTCTCTTGCCTGTTTACAAGGGGCTTCCAGATGTGCTTGATTTCCATTACCTCCTATACTGATCCACCACCTGGCACTAACAGGAGGCTCCCCTCTTGTGGCAGAAGCAGTACAGAACCAGTGACACAGGGCTAGAGGCATGTGGGCTTTTCATATATAACTTATTCCTTTGCATCCATTTTGTGTGGCGTGTGGATGTTTTTCTGCTCAAAAGCTTAAGAGGAATTTGCACTCATGCCAACTCTGCCATGTCAAAAAAAAAAATCTCTTTGAATCATGGGTTTTGTCATCCTTGTGGCCTCTAAAGTAAGGAAGTGCCAGTGTCTTGTTTCATGGTAGGATTTCATGCTGGTATGCCCTTGGGGAATTGGGTAATATTTATACTAAGGTGCTATACAGGTGGAAGGAATTGTTTCTTTTTCACTGGGATCAAAGTAGTTAGTAGCTCCTGCACGCAAACCACCAAATTGTTGGTGATGCATCTACAAGCAAGCCTTTTGCTTTTCTTGCTAGAACAATGGAGGCTGCAGTCCCTTTGGCCTCTGCAAGTACACAGGACCTGGTACTCGCAACTGCTCCTGCTCTTGGCACAGTGTTGGAGATGGCTTCACCTGCCATGGCAAAGTGTATCAGGTGAGAAGCGTGCACGGCATCTTTTGTCTTCAAGGCACCCGCCCCATAGCAAACCATTCCCCCCATTCCAAGCCCAAGCTACAGGTAAGCAAACCTGTGGCACCGTGTTGACACACGTGTGTACTGGAGGAGCAAAGAAAGGTACTCTGAAGCAACCTACCCATACATTCTAGGTGTATTTGGGGTGCTGACTGGGGGAGAGAGCTCACAGTATAGTGACCTTGCCCCAAAGGGAGCTGTGATGTAACCGCTCTGACAAGCCACTCTGTTGGCAACATTGGTCACTCCTCCAGGGCACTGTTCTGTTAATGTGACAAGCAAATGGAAGTTATTTTTGTCCCCAAGGGAACCCACTTCTCTCAGTATGTGGGATCAAGGCAGGTGTCACTTGCAGCCAGGCTGGGACTTGGGATCCAGTCTGGAGGGCTGCAGTCTCTCTCTGGCTCTGTTGCCAATTCAGTGGGTGTCCTTGGGCAAACTGGTGAGCTGTTGTGGTAAAGGCAAACAAAAAGCTGTCATGCCCATAGCACAGCTGGGATTAAAAGGAGGGACTCAGTTTTGTGTTTCTGCTCTTACTGAAAGTTAGTGTGGTAAGCAGAGATTTTGCCCTGCTGAGCCTATGCCTGCCACTCTGGGATGGTCATCCCAGAACTCATAGTGGTAGCACAGAGAGGGTAAAGCAGGTGTTTTGTGAAGTACTTGAGGTGTCCCTTGAGCACTGAGGCAGTACGACCTCTGAGGCAGCCACTGCAGAAGCAGCCAGCTTTCATTTCTTAGCAATTCCTGCCCTCTCCATCTTGCAGTATCTCCAATGTGAAAGGTCCAGGCAGAGGTCACTGCCTGCTTTGTAACCCGCTTTGTCATCTGTGCTTGCACTGCTGGCAGTTGCAATGGAGGGAGGGAAAGATCGCTATCATGTGTCTGGAGAACCAGAGTCTTGCTGGAGTGAGAGAGGGACCTGGCATGGAAAGAGCAGGTCACTGTGCTGAGTGGCTGGGATTTGGTGGATGAGACTCTGCTAACATGAGCTATTTCTCTTTGTTTAAGGAGCTCGCAAGGATTGAAGGTGCCTCCATGTTCTTTAAGATGATACTGGTTGGTGGCAAACAACTTTGTCCTTGTCTGCACATTGTAAATCCCAGATAGTGTTTTCTGCAAAGGGTCTTGCTAACTGGAACCGTGCTTTTTTTTCCATTTCCACAAATGCCCCCCCCTGCTATAGGCGGAAAAGATCAAGGAGCTCAGTGGGGCAGGGCCTTTCACTGTCTTTGTCCCACGGACAGATTTCATAGAAAACACCACAACGGTAAGTGTCCCCTCATTCCAAGCACTGTCAGGTGTTTGGCAAGCTGCACTCAGGGCAATGTGTCCTCTGGGGGCTGCTCAGCCCAGTGAAATGAAGCAAAGGGGCTGCATTGCAGAGCTTTAAGTATATCCCTTTTTTTCCGTCAGTGTAAGAACAGTGGTTTGGATGCCGGCTCACTGCAGAGGCAGTCTGGGCAGATATGGTCCCTGTTGTAAGGAGACCTGTCAGTGGAGGCTCTGGAGCTTCTGACTCACGATCCTCAGAGGGACTGTGCCAAACTGATGATGCATGGTGATTACAGTTGCCCAAGGTTATTAGGGACTAGCAGCAGTGAGGCTTCACGGTATCTGTGATGAAGACTTCTTATGCTGGTCTGTGTCCCCAGGCCCTGCCATCCCACTTCCACTGGTCCCTTCCCTCCAGTCCCAACAAGTGGGATGTTTGGGGCAAGTGGAGACCTAAGGGAGGAGTGATGCTTATCCATGACCCTATAAACCAGACAGGTCCTTGACCAATAGCTTTTGGGTGTCAGTGTAACGGCATCCCTTAATACCATCGCTGGCAAGTCCTGTCATGTGGTTTCACAGCACTAGACGCAGCCTTTTCCGCGTGGGCCACCCATACTGTCAGTAAAGAAACAATTCCTGGCGACGGCACTGCTTTGCCTCGGTCAATGTAATTGTTTGTCCTCCATCAAAGGGTCTGAATTCTGCTCTCTGTCACGTTGGTTGAAATTTCCCAAAGCTCTTAAATGGATTTGTGCATTTGCCATGTTTTCGGGGTATTGGCTTTCCTGCAGAGATAGGTCAGAGGGGACAGGCCAAGCAAAAGGGCTCAGGGCAATCTAGGTCTCCCTCATCAGGGCTGTGCCCTCTCCAGTCCCCTCCCCCTCACCAACCCCTTCCAAGGCAAAGTGCCCTCAGTGTGATCTCAGCATTCCTGATTTCTCTCCATAGTTTGAAGAATGGAAGAGCAGAGGCCTCCTCCAAGAGCTGCTTCGCTACCACATGGTGGGTTGCCAGAAATTGCTGTCCAGCGACCTGGAAGCCCAGGAGTCCCTTACATCTTTATCAGGCCATAAAATAAAGATTGAGGTGAAAGAGGTAGTTCTCTGCCTTAATTTGCTTCCCTGTCCTGCTTAGCAGGACCTCATTTTTGCTGTCACTTGAAGGCCACCACAGCCATGGCAAGTGACTTGCTTCATGGCCTGCAGATGGCTCATAGCATGGTGCCCTGAGCAGGAGTACAGCATTGCATCCCTTTTCTCTCAGAATAGCATCTATCTCAATGAGGAAGCTACAGTGGTTGCTGCTGACCTCATTGGCATGAATGGGGTCATCCATTTCATCAACAAGATCCTCATTCCAAGCGAGCTGGTGGACCATAACATTTCCTCAAAGATCTCACAGGTAAATGTCAAGCAATAACTGTGCGCTAATAACCGCCATGTTGAGGGTAGGACTAAGATCTTTCTCCTCACGCTCCCAACTGCTCTGAAATTGCTGTCACTGATAAACTCTCCCTAAGGTTACTCAGGATGCTCCAGTTTTCATATTCCCATTTGTGTAAGGGGTTGTGTGAGGGCATGGCTCTGGCTTTTGAAAGTGACAGCATTTGCAGCATAGCAATATTTGGGTCGGAAGAAGCCAGAATCCATCATCAGGGAACAGTACTGGCTGTAGGCAAGGGGTCGTATCCAGTGCATACTTTCTAAGTTTCTAACTTTCTAAAAAGTCTAAAAGTTCCAAAAAAGTCTAAAGAGTTCTAAAAAGTGCTAAAAGTCATCCCAGCTTTCACCGTAGCAGTGTCTAGCCAGAATGAATGCGACAAGTGGTGGCTCCTGAATGTCAGCACTTGCCAGACCAAATCAATCAGCAGGATGATGACAGAGAGAAATTTGTCATCACGTTTAGCTGCTGTGGTTGTTAACTGGCTGTTTTTTTCCCTGCATT